TTTTCACTTTGTCTAAACTCAAGAGCAGTTAGCCACGGCCGTCGCTAACGCTTCACTATGTATTAGTCAATGTAGTGACGTCATTCCACGCAGCGGACCGTCGGGAGACTCACAGCCACGCAGAGCCAGGCTCAACGCGGTGGCCGAAGTGTGAACAGCCGTGCGGGAGGTGAAGTCCCAAGAACTGTGTCCGGCTGCCTGACTGCAGAGGCAGGGATCCGCAAAGAGGAAAGGCTCAGCACTGGAAGTCATCACTCATGCTAAGTTTACCTCCAACTGCAACTTCAGTTTCAAAATGAGTTTCAGTTACTTAGAAAATGAACAACCATTCACCATTATCACAGCCACAGTTCCCCAAAGCCCACACTTACTATGACTTCCTGTTATGTGCCTACAGCTGCGTTGGGTTTTTCTAACATAATCCCAGAGGCAGTAATATTGCTCAACTCAAATACCTTAATTTCTCCTGCCCAGAGGACTTGTTTTCTGAAGTTTAAAACCTGGTCGTATCACACACACGAGACGCAAACCAAAACTGTCCAGTGAATGGGATTATTCCCATACCAACAGCTGATCCATACCTATGAGTGTACAACTGGCTGTTTTTGCTGTGACCTGGGAGTTTATTTGGAACTGTATTTCTACAGAACAAAATAACATATTTTCTGCCCCCTGCATTCAATACATTATAAATTAATCATTTAGTATACTGTATATCTAATAATAGCTATATTAATACTGTGATGTGCTAATAACTGTTTTATTAAACTCGTTATTCAACCTATCCCCCTAACAACTAATCTGATTTTAAACTGGATATTATGTCTTTGTTTTAAAATGTACAATTAAGTTTAATCTATATATAAGGGATTTTAAGGCTTGAACATTATTACTGTTAAAAAGACATGTCACGTGAATCAATGTTCAGTTACAATCTGCAGACTCGATATATCATGAGTTTGGCTGGAATTTAGACATAAACTGGACCCAAGAATCTGAAGCCGGCTCTTGATATTCTGCGGCACATTGGGATATAGTACACATACGGACTTCCTTATATAAATATATAGAGAACATGAATGATAAAGCTGGGTAATGTACCAAAAAAAAGGTTGCCACCACTGAACTTACATTAATCCAATCTACTAAAATGAAACTAAACAAATAAAACAAAACGATAAATTAGTCTAGGAAATGTCTCCTCGATATCATCTAATTGCATGATGAACTGGATAACAGCGTAATAATGTCTCATTTCCCGGGAAAAAGGGGCAGAAAAACGTTGGTGAACACATGTGTTGACATTTGCAAGCGCACTTTGAACGCTGTGGGCAGGCTGTACGGTTCAATGTGAACATGCTGTTATAACAGTCTGCGTGCATAAGTGTTACAAGGTTACCCCTCCATTCACTACTGCGAAAAGAAGGGGGGTTGTCAAGATGTAGCCGTTTCGATGCACTCTAAGAGTTTATAAATTATCGTTATTTCCTTTGCTTCGCCCCACCACGTTATAATTTAGCCATACCAACCTTCATGATCCCGCACGGTGCGCTGACGCCTCCCAGATCCCTCTCGCCGGAGCACTCCCGGCTGCCGTGGCCGGTCCTGGGACTCCCATGCTCCCTGCACCTTCTGCCGGCGTGCAAAGCCTCAGCAGCCGCCACTACAGCCGGCGACGCGGCAGCATCCACAAAAGCCAGGGTGCTGGATGGAGGAAACGCGCCGCCGTTTTGGTTCAGCCCCTCAGTTTCTGTCATTAGCGGCACCAAAGTGGCATTTAGCGGTTGTCCCGATGCACTTCGATCAGCCTGTATCTCTTCCATCATCCCAGCAGAACACAGGATAAAAACCCAGCGTCGTCCAACATGCTACCATAGGCTGATGACTAATAACTACTTGAATTAAAAGAGGAAAAGATTTTAAAAAGCCAAACGCAAATATCCGAACAGGTAAAATACACCGGCGATGCTTGGTAGATCCTAATGTCAAACTGAGCAGATAGTGTCTTTTCTGTGATCTTTCAACTTCTCGTGATAACGAGGAAAATGCAGTGACTCAGCGGAGCCACTGACAAGATGTGCTGGGTCTGTATAACTTTCGCTTTTGCGCGATTGACATCTTGTCGTCCGTAAGCCGCTCGGGGCGCTTCGCAGGGGCGCTGTCACACGTGCTCGCCCGCCCGGGATGCAACGCTTGACAAAAGCTCTCCTCAAATGCCTGCCCCTTCCCCCCCACCCTCACTGTGCACCACACACACTGCTCTCTCTGGTTTTACACGCTGAGAGCTTCTCCATTTACTCGCACACATCGCACAAGATACCAAGTTACATAAACACCTTAGGAAGCCGATAGAAAATTAACAAATCGATCGTACGCCAAATTGAGCAATCGTTGTTTCGTGTTATTGATTACATACACGAAATACGTCTAATCATGTGTTCAGATTCAAATACATATTAACTTATATGCATAACTACTTATATTAAGCGGCAACCAAGCAGATTACTTCAGAAATGTTATTTACAGGATATTTATATTCATTACACCTACCACTGCCCCCACGGGGAAGCCTCCAGGTGTGATTTGCGCCATCTAGCGGTCGATTTGGTAGGTTAAAAAAATAATAGTACTGTATCTCTTTACAAAGTAATCTGTGACGACTGCTAAAAACTTGAAACAAGAGTATATGACTAATTGGACTAAGCCAAACATAAACTACTATTTATTTGGAAGCAGTTTTATGTTGTAGAGAAACGATTTAGTCAGTAAGGTTCAAGAACATTGCAAAGAAATCGATTTAGGCTATTTCACATTACTCATCCGCTTAACATGAGTGACTAGAACATTATAAGTAAATTATAATTGTCTGCCAATACATGAGATTCGCTGTGACAGATCAATAAGTTTGTGATCACTTAAAAAACTTTTCTTTTTTTTTATTTCCGTGACACTGATTGTAATCTAAGCACGGTGCTTAGTAAATAGTAACGCATTTGGCACGTTTTGCTATTTCAATAACATTTTGAATAGCATTTTATTTCGGGTCATTTTAATGCACCTTTCTGCGCCGTATAAATTCTTTTGTAGGCGTGGTAACTATAGCAAAGCATCGAAACCCTAATGTTCACAGTTCGGTCATGAACCTAATAAATGAATAATAAATCGTGCTCTTCGCATAATGTCCCCACTTGAGAGGAATGGATAATTTATTAATAATACATCAATACGAGCTATTTTTGTTCACTTTTATTGCCACCTGCATGTTAAGGTTGTAACAACTATCTGGAATGGATTAATTATTCAACACTGAAACAAAATGAGTTAAAGTCGCGATTGATTGTTTAACCAGATCCAGTTTGTGATATTGCTGACATGTCCATTTTTAGCTTTCATTCTTTCTCATTGCCAAAAGGAGTATAAACTAAATGCTATCAGAACCACAATATATTCCCTGGACCAGGGCTGAACTGGGATTAAAAATTAGCCCTGCAATTCAAGGTCCCACCAAAATTTTGGCCGAGGGCGTGATAAATTTGCTCAGCCCACGTACCCATCGGCCTATCAGGAAAGGGCTTGGAAGCTCACATAGCCAGTCCAGCACTGTTCTGCACGGCCTGTTACCCTCACCCCCAATCTTACCCCCCCTCCTCCCATATCCCCCAACCTCCCCAACTCTCCAGAATTTTTTTTAACAGTCCAACATTGTGTAACTGATCTCAGTGTATCAGCTTTACCAGATCGGTATCAGTGGCTGTCCTTTCATGTGCCATGTGTCAAGTCATACTGCTTTAATTTTGGTGCAATTTGTCTCACAGTAATTACATAGACCCTAGATATACCTGTACATTGTTCCTGGGAAGTCTGAAAAAGATCCACCAAGTACATTGAGTTCTCACGGTATCAAGAATGTGGTGGCAGCAACAGACTGGCTCCAAAACCATGTGTATGCGCTGTCCAGGGGTCACATCTACCACTGAACAACATTCCTGTGATAAGGAGTAAATGTTTGTTACATTTATGTCATGATCTGCAATTAAAACATACTGACTCAACCATATAATTTTAATTTAAAATAATCTATGATTCTGTCACCTCAGGAGTTATAGTTTGAATGATTATATGCATAATTTGAGGAAATAGATAAATACTGATACTGGGCTAGCCTATGACAATTGGCATAATGGGCAAGTAAGATTTTATAAGTTGCTTCAATTAATCAACTTTTACGCTAAATTAAGTGAGTGTTCAGTACAAAATACTGAATATATGATATGAAATATATAAAATATACCTTTTGAGGTTCCTGAGTACTGGTAAGCGGGCGTATCAAACCAACGGTGTATCAAACAAATCATCTCATAAAAATTGTACCTTTGATGCTTGAGCTGGACTAATCAAATTTTTTGATGGTTCTTTACATATGTTCTCAAAATTCATAACAGAAATGAAACATTTTTAAGAGAGTTGATGCCTAAATTATAATCCAATTCTGGAATGACCCCTGAAGTAATCTTCTCACGGATTGGAAGAAAGTTAACTTTTCAAACCACAAGAAGGTAGTGCAGACTCTTAGTAAAACAAAATGCCAGAATTAAAAAATAACTACCTAAGTTTTGTTTTTCCTCTGAAAGGTTTGCCATATCTCACTAATATGGCTGCCATGCTTGGTGAATTTAACTAGCTTAAGTGAGACAGCTATGAAATTACATTATAGGTGACCGTGCTGACAAATCCTGAGCTTTACCGGGAAAATGTCCTGCAACAAAGTAAGACCAGATGCTTATATTTAGGGGGGATATGAGAAACGGTTCCTGTTTATTTGCCTTACGGTTACCTGCTGCTATGAGTTAGCATGGATGTTCTGTGGCAAATCCCCCCCCCCCCACCCCGAGTCTCTGAGGACACCCCCACATCCTGCCTTTCACACAGCGCTCATCTGGAACAATCCGCTTCCTCAGGCCTTTTCCTTTGCCGTTTGCTAATTCAATATAAAACACTAGTTTCAATTGAAAATGTTACTCTCTTCAAGAATTTATTATGCTTAGCACATATTAGATATTTTAACAACTTATGAAAAACATAATAAAGACAAAACACATAAAGAACAATTAATTATCAACAAGACACAGGAGACCAGGATGAATGCACTTATAATATTACACAAAAAGGGAGACTATATTAAAGGACAAATCAAACTTTCCACATTCAATTAATTTGAACATTATACCGAACCAGCAGTGCATTCACTCTGCATAGCGCTTTGCACATCAGTCCTACCGGAGACAGGTGAACCTGGGAAGTGCAGAGCTGTTCACACTTACAGTATTCTGGAGGAGACAGTGGTACTGAACCCGTGCAGAATGAAGCGGAATCTACAGAAGCCTCAGCGCCCTAAACTTACCCTGAATTCATACTGAAGTATCACATGGGTCTGACCTTTAGCAAATGCACGTTTTGGACCTTTGGTTGTTGGCAGATCACAGAGTGGAACCATTTTCGGCGGCACGTGACCTTGCAGGCTGTTGGGTGGCTGTGGATGCGGAGCGGCTGGAGGCCATCAGCCTCCCACATTAAACTTCTCTAAATGTCAGTTCAATTAAAGGTAACCTTAAGGGTGACTCCAAACAGCCCAAGAAAACGACGTCTGGGACTATGACGTGAGATCTGTCCTGTTTACCGCTTTTTAGAGCATTTGCATACTTGATCAAAAAAGGGGGTCTTAGGATCAATTGGTGATATCTGTTCACATTGTGGAATAAAAACACTTGACTAGTCGAGGTACAGTAACTCCAGGAAACAGATTAATTGATCCATTTGTCATTTAGCTAATACCTGTAAATATAACTGAGGATTATGCTTTTCCTGTTAATTGCTTCTTTTAATTGATGGTATTCCCATATTATACTATGATTAGTTAGCACAACCATCCATTTTTAAATATTGTATCCTGCATGAGCAGTTTACAGTCAATGCCCCCCCAACCTCTCAGATGAAGGTGATGGAAAAAGAAACAGATCTGGCCTGGTTCAGCCTCAATCTGGTTTGGCATGGCAGCAGAAAAACAGTTGAGGACTCTTGTGAAAATACTAGAATTGTCATTATTGTCATTTTGGTCACTGCCATTACCAAAGTCAGTAATGTAGCCCTGTGCAGCAGCCACTTACTCTGTACACCTTTGTTTGTATATTCACTATCCCCCCCCGATAAAGGGAATATCTGTGGTCTAAAAAGATAAACACAAGGTGTCACAATAGGGAAGAAGTTTACACTCTACACAGTGTTGCTTACAGCAAAGTTTCCGAAAGTAGGTGTCACGATGAAGTCCTTTCCCAGAATTCCCTTTCAGCGGTGCTCAGGAGATGGTCCTTCGCAGCAGGAAGTCAGCGCATTCCTTACTGCGCAACACTCGCTGCATTTTAAAGGTGGCAGGAGGGAGCGATGACAAGCTGCTGCGCAGCTCCAGAAACGCACCTCTGCCAACCAGCTGCACCCTCATTGGCCCGATGCTGCCTTTGAACCTGAACGATTTATAGACGGCTGAGTGTTCTTGGAGACAGTGGTCAAGCTGTGTGAATGAAAGAGAGAGAGAGCTTGCAACAGGATGAGGTGATCTTGGGACGGGTGGAGGGATTCCCCCCCCCCCACCCCAACAAGTTCATGCATAATGTATCCTCAGAAATTATTCACTCAATCTACAGCCCTTAAAAGCTTCTCTGCCTTCCTGTCCGTCTGTCACCCTTTAATGTGCAAAACCCAGTCAGCCCCAGAGACTGGCAGCCTGAAGGGAAATCAGTTATTACAGCAGCTGCCATGAAGTCATAGACGGTAAACATGGAGCAGCCCATCCTCCATAGAACGCAACTGAACCTTAATAGTGCATCACATATTACAGTATGTGGTTTTGTGTGCAAGACATTTTTATATACACAGGACAAAAATAAGGTAAAGATTAAAATAACAAAAGTCATCTGGACAAATTAGATGGAAGTGATGGCAGTAAACTACAGTACGTAAATAAAACACTATTTTCTTTTCCTCGCCATTTCTATTACTTTTAATAACTATACATCTCTTACCTCCAGTTCAGTAAGTTCTGATCACCCTGGCGATTAGACTGATCGCACTACCCTAAATACACTATATTTTTCTCATTGGTTCGGTTTAAGATTAATGGAGATGGCAGCTACCGCAGGAAGTGTAACTCTAGTAAATCGCTCTGCCAATTAAGCAAATACATAATCCATTGGGGACTTTGAATTTCAAAGCACATTAAAGCAGCTTTTCATTACTCGAGTATGTTTTTGCAAGAGGACATGCCCTTCTGGAGACTTGGCTAGCTTTGGTTAATTGTAGGGTGTTAGGGTTAGAATAAGGCAACAGAATACTATGTGGAGCATGAAGGTGCTATCGTGACAAGAGATATGGGAGAGACGGCAACAATATTGTTCTTTTAGATTTCATGTGTCACCTGGGCTTGTCTCTGCCACTCTTCCAAAGACACCCTTCTATATCTTGCCGAGCTGAACAGGCCGATGCTAAGCCTGTCTTCCAAAACAGGAAGTGCACTGAAAGCACCACAGAAGCAGCAGGGGTAACAGGGTCAGGCAGAAGTGCTGAGGCTACATTGAGAAACTGACCAGCAGATGGTCAGTAATGTGCTGCCTTTTATTGGTCAGGTGGGGTTGTGTGACTTCGGCTAGAGTAGAACCGAAAGTCACATTGTTTTGTTACAATGATATAACTTCAGCATGAGTATTGGGTGCATATGTGTCTAGACTTACAGTTTGCCTCCTGGAACAAGTTCTACTACACCAAGATGGCGGCGCACTGGGTCGCAGCGGTCGCACCAGGTCCAAACCATAGTGCGATATTCCTGCTTTATTTATATTTTGGTGTTTAAGTGAAAATGTCCGTCGGAACTGCGAAGAAACACGTCTACAACTGCCATCTGTCCTGTTTCCTGTACATAGACAGATAGTTAGAACTAGTTTCTATTCTTAAAAATTTAGTTAGATTTATTCATGTGAAATTTCTATTTTATATTTTCTTGGTATATTTTTTATCTTTATAATGCACCGTGGGGGAGCTGTGTGGAACGACATTTCAATACACTGTATACTGTGTATATTGTTGTACTGACAATAAACCGATCTTAATCTTAATCTTAGAACAGGGGTGGGCAATCTTATCCAGAAAGGGCCGTTGGGTATGCGATCTTTTCGCTTCAACTCCGTAATTATATTACTAATTAGAGGACTGATTGGCTGAAGAGTCCTCGCACCTGGGTTTGAACAGCTGATCTAAAGGTTATCCCAAAAACCTGCATACACAGCGGCCCTTTGAGATTACTGCCCACCCCTATACTAGAACTTCTAATGACTTGCTGTCCAGAATCCATCCAAAGTAGCTGAAATTAACAGTCATTAATGCAACTTGGGATATTCTTCTGACTTTCAGCCATAGATATAACACAAAAACATAACATTAAAGATGTACCTGATACTACAAATTCCAAGCTATTCATTTCAGAAAGGCTGACTAGCTTGAGGCTTGCAGGTTTCTCACCTTGTAGCGCTGCTCCTCGGTCAGGTTCCTCACTCCTCTCAGCTCCAGAAACACTTGATAATGGGGATCTGAACCTCCTGAGGCCTGACCTGTAAGCGGACGACACACCAGTGACAAGATAAACAGCCTCGCAGTTACCTTCAATTAGTTATATTTGTAAAGTATTAAAAGAGAGGCAGTGGTGTCTTAATGGTTAGGGAAGCGCACTCGTAATCGGAAGATTGCAGGTTCAAATCCCCGACCAGCAAGACACCACTGAGGTACCCTGAGCAAGGTACTGCCCCCAAGCACTGCTCCCCGGGCGCTGAATTAGCTGCCCCCTGCTATGTCATGAAAGTCACATATGGGTTAAATGCAGAGGACATCATGTCCCAGTCACTCAAGATAATCCACAGGCTTTGTAGTGAGCAGTATAATATAAGAACTATTTTTTTCTACCGAACTCCACACACCAATCTTATCACTGTGCAGAAGATATTGCTGGCGTGCTTGTGCTCGTATCTTCTGCGCTGTGATATGAATGGTGTGAGGAGTTTGGTAGATAAGTTCCTACACACTGAAGAGATAGCACTAAAGTACCTCTAAAACATATTGGTTTTCAGGTTTGGGGTGACCTGCCCCTTTAAAGCGCACTGGCGTGCCCAGAGTGTCAATTCAGTAGGTTACAACTTACCCAGAATGCTACTCTCCACACAGCAGTAGTCCAGAAGCTCTGCCCCAGGCCACTGACTGACAGCCCGCTTCAGGGAACCCAGGAACATGGCCTCAGAAATTCTCTCACCCCGCACATTCAGCATCTGTCCCCGCCTGCACACAAAAGTTGAAGTCTTCAATTTGAGTCACACACACTAACTAGCCATCGTCCATGACCCTTTATCCAGTAGACGGTCATGGTGACCTCAGAGCCTTTCCCAGGAAATGCAAAGTTGATTAAAGTATGTCAGCAATTCCAGCATTCCTTATATCAGGAATTTAAATGCAATTAAACAAAAAACTCAAATGTTATTCCAAATCATCTACTGAGGTTAGACATATATCAGTGGCAAGCCTCAAATGGTATCATGATTTTTTTACATTTATTTTTTAATCTTTGAAGCTTTCATTTTTACACATTCTGTGTAGTCTGGTTTTTATCCAGCTGATCAACCGCACTAGCCTATTGCCTCACAATTTTTGGTTAGGGTAGTGGGCAACTGCAAAGGGCTACTATTTGACAGCTATTAAGATTCTACTTAAGAGAAAAAAATATTTTTTAAAAGTGTTTGTAGAATGGAAAAAGAGTCATATGTTCAAAAAGCAGCAAATACCTGTACTGGAATTCCACCACTGGACACTGATTGTGGAAAGCAGTGATCCTCAGCACATCTCCAATTCGATATCTCAAAAAAGGAACCATAAGAATTGTCATGACTGTCACTCTTCTTCAGACAAACATCATCAAAAAAAATTATATTTAACATTATCAGGTGAGATACACACTGAATGCATGTATCCATCTCAATGTCTCGGTTTTAGGTTGTACTGAATATCTAGGATGACCCTATACTGACATCTAGTGGCCAAACAGAGCATCCTGTAAGACACCACAGGCACTGGTTACTGGTCACTAATATGGTGCACAAGCTCAGTACAGGTAAAATGCAATGGCAATGGCATATCATTCCTACATGGGCACACCTGAACAGGCCGGACGCGTTGGTAACCACCAGCTCGTAGCACTGGCCCTGCTGCACCTGCTCCATAGTCAATGTGGGGGGCTGCTCCTCCTCCAGACTGGCCTCGGGGACAAACTCACAGAACATGGATCTCGGGCACAGCAAGTACTGCCGCGGCTCCTTCTCTGGGCACACGTTCACGCCAATCAGGCCTATATGGAAAGAGAGAGGCGGGAATACACACACATACACACGCATATGTTAGGTATTTATATCTTTGTGAGGACTCTCCATCTGTTTCTATGGGCAAAACCTTAATCCTAACTATGATAATACTAAACCTAAACCTAACCCCAACCTTAAACACAAGTAACCCAACAAAATATGAGACTTTTGGCAATTTTAGTATTTTAGTTTTTTGACTGCAGTGTCAGTTTTTTTTTTTTTTATATTTATATTGTGGGGACCATATTTAGTCCTCATTAATGTGGTAAATACAAACGCACGGGGACACACATACACACTTTTGTATCCATATCTTTGTGGGGACCGTCCATTCATTTCTGTGGGCATAACCATAATCTCAACAACGACAACCTTAACCCCTACCCTGCCCTAACCTTAACCATAAATAACCATATAGAATACAAGATTTTTTGCATTTTTACTTGCATTCACAAATTTGTATAAATTTGATTTTCCTCTTGTGGGGACCGAAAAGGTGGTCCCCACAATGTCAAAGTAACAGGTTATTATCATATTATGGGGACATTTGGTCCCCACAATGCAATATAAACATAATACACACACACATACACGGGTGTATTTTAACTTATCACTAGGAGCCTCTCACTATACTGCAGTATATCATTCCTCAAAACAATGGGCAAAACGTCAAAACATTTAAAAGCTGAAAAAAATGTTTTGGCATATTTATCTTTTTCCCAGAAAGGTACAGGGAACTGGCTTAATCAAAGATGCATCTCAACCTCCTGTTGAGCCAGAAAACATCCCCCAAAATCCCCAAAATCTTATGTAATTTACTCTGCTTGCTCTTTGAAAACAAGCCCATATAAACCTGGCTAAAAGGCCACTCTGTGCCAGTTGAATGAGATCATTCCAGCAGACATGAGAAGCCAACAGCTTTCGATATCTCAGGCTCTGTATCTCTGATGACCTCACCTGGTCAGATCATGTACAGACTCTCAGCATCAGCTGTAGCATCTTAGGCAGCTGAGGAGGTTCAAGGTCTCGCCACTCATTCTTAGGACCTTCTACTTAGACCATTCCCACCATGGGAAGCACAGCCTGGTTTAGTAGCTGCTCTGCCCTGGACAGCAAAGCTCTGCAGAGGGTGGTAGCTTCTACCCTGAAGCCTTCAGACTGCTTAATATCTGACTGACACTTTAATTCATATACACTCCACTGCAAGTTATAGTCTGACTGTATACTTTGCATGTGACAAATAAAACCCTTGAATCTGCACGTGATTGTGTTAATAATAACTCAATCAATAACATAATAACATCATAATAAATGGGTAGGTTGTGATGTAATGTTCTTAAGCATCGCTGCTACTCGCGCTGTTTTGGTGACAGAGTAAGATGTCTCTGGGTGTCTCCTAACCAAGCACGCTGCTGTACTGCAGAGCAGTCTGGGAGCTCGTACCTTCAGCGGCAGCATAAACGGGGGAGTAAAAGGGCACACCCTCGCAGTAGTGCTGCCTCAGCAGTTCCCCGTGAATCTGGTCGGAGCCGGAGTCCACAGCCAGAATGAGGCTGAGTCGAGGCCATAGTCTCGGGGCTATGCCCAAGAAGCCCTTCTCAAACTCTGCCCTAAGATGGGCGGCACGCTCCGGGTCTGGCCGGAGCAGTCCTTCCAGAGTTTTCCGTGTTCCATGCTCGAGGTCCAGCTGGGGACTGACCCGGCCCAGCTCTACGTCCTCCACCAGCTCCTGCCATCGTTCCTGGAGGAAGAAGTGCACCATCGCTTACCATCCCAGGTACGTTCAGCTCCCTCTGCCAGGGGAAGGGTTTGTTCCAATAAGCCACTAACAGGGGAAGTTATCCAACTAGCATGTTCTACTGTCTAAAGCATGAGCGTCGTTAGGTCCGATCAGTCGGGGCTATAGCCCTGAGTATTTTAAGCCGATGCCGGAGTATTTTCGGCCCCCATGCCAATCTTCCTTCAAAAAAAAACAAAGTCGCGCCCCGGGTAATCTTGACTTACCCCCTTTTCAATAGCTAGAAACTCCCTTGGTCTAAAGCATACCGTTATATAATATATTGTAAACCACAAACCACTTTTTGTGGAAGTCTCTGTTCATGTTTGGTATTCATACTTGGAAAATTTAGTTTATTTTTTCTTTCTGGCTTTCTTCCAGTCCCCAATACCGTTAATATACAGTAATTCCTATTTACACTTCTGAGATGGCACAAACTGGATTTTATATGGCTAGAGTTTTTAAAATCAAACAATTAAAAAAAACATGTAACTTTTTAAGTTAATTCGATCAATATTTCATAATTGAGTTTCAGGGAATCTGTTGCATATCCCAGCAAGCATAGTAAACGCACATAGATTACTCCCCCCCCCCCAGTCACATTCTTCAGCGAGTCCCCTTGTACCTGCAAGCTACTGAAGGCGTCAAAGATCTCAGAGGCGAAGTCAGACTCCAGTGCGCCCAGTGCAGAGTCCCTCAAGGCAAAGAGCAGGTGCAGGTAGAGGGCGTCTCGCTTGTTGCGCACTTGCAAGGCTGGTGCAGGTGTGGTGTAGATGCTCAGCAAGTGGTGGAGCAAGGTGGAGCAGGAAGAGGCCAGGATGGAGATGTTTGACCTGATGGGAATGCCTGTCTCTGAACAACCAGAGTTCGAATCGTAGTAAAACCCAGTAGTGCGCTGCAGGACTTCACTGGCCGGGAAAGACCTCTTTATGGTGTCTAGACATACAGCGACCCCCTGAGGAGAGAGAGACCAAAACTCCTGACAGGTTCATTCATACATACATCCACCAAGATCAAGGCTCTCCAACTCTGGTCCAATAGAGCTCGTATCCAGTAGGTTTTCTATCTTATCTGGCTTCTGATGAGCCACACCTGTTCTCAAGGAACATACCAGGAGCAGGTGTGGCTCATCAGAAGCCAGGTAGGATAGAAAACCTACTGGATAGTAGCTCTATAGGACCAGAGTTGGAGACCCCTGATCTAGATATACTTCAGCATAAATTTTACTATTATCTAACGAGCTGCCTAACAGCAGTTAAAATTCAGAAAACAATTACTAGTAAGAGCAACATGCAACAATATGCAGCCATGGGATTAGTGTACTGTATTTTCTTTCCCATACTTTTTGAAATGGACGTTTCCCTGCATTTCTACTTAATATTACTGCCAACCTTCCAGTGCACTTGATGTACAAAAGAAATTCCCTTGCGAGCGGCTAACAGACAGTTCAAGATGAATATCAGCAGCATATGCGCTGAGTTCTCTTTTCTGCAGTTCTGCCATTTGGGTGTTTCAAGAGGGAACAGATATTACAGCTTTGCCGGGAACCGTCGCCCGCCCCTTTACCGACCTGCAGAAACAAATCGGTGTTAGTATCCTTCATGCGTGGGAGCATGCAGCACTTCCCAGATATGCCAGACGTCATGACCAGGAGATGCGGCTTCTCTGCAATCAGCAGCCTGCTTTCCCCAGCCGCTACCTGCTCCACCAGATCACGGTAGTTCTCATAAACTGTAATGGGATGATGCTGGCGAAAAGTTTCACAATCTACAAAATATAATGGGCATTTCATATATATATTGCGACTTGCATGGCCTCATACAATGCATCATTTTAGAACAATGAGGATTTAACATATTATGGCACCACAGTTTATCACTTTTCAATACGTAGGGTGAGTATATTGTTAAAAGGGGACAGTTAACCTTTGCAGTTAATATATATGTTTAGTAATACTTTATTTCCTCCTAGGGGCATTAATGTAGTGAGAATGGTATCAAGTTGGGATTCAAGACATTGAGATGATTCTGTAAATTTTTCCAGCGAGCAATTTTTCAGAAAGTGTCCCATTCTAAAATACTCACTCTATGTTAGATATATCATAGGGAAGGTGAAGGAGCGGGCCATCGTCCAGTGGCAAAACAGCAGTGCATCTGAAACCTGTTTTGAAAGGTGCTTTCATGTTTTAAACATGAGGGGTTTATTTAATTGCCAGTCTTGAGCAAATTGTTCACGGACATACCCTTTGAAAGTTACCCATTATTTAAAGTATCCCCTTATAACTGTGGATAAAGTTTTATGAGATTTACCTTTAATAGATTTAAAATCATACTGCCGTCCATAGTCCGTGTTGGCAGTCTTGTGCAGGCGTTTCAGCAAAGTTTCCTCCTGTACTCGCCGGACGTCCAGCGTATCTGCCTCCAGCCTATTCCTTTGTCGTTTTCCAAGCCATCCTATTATTCCCCTGGCGATGAAGGTAATGATGAGGGCGGAGGCCGTCCTGCTTTCTCTCTTCGCCCTCCATCTGATGTCTCTCCAGGTGATCGTCACCCCACACAGAATGACGGCAGCAGTCACACTTGGCAGCAGACGAGTATCTTGGAGAAGCTCTGCCACAACAAGGGATGCAATCACAAGCACGGCCACAGGAAGACGCTACCGGCCCACTAAAATCCAGGCTTCATTCCATACTCTATACCGCTCTCCGTGTTTATCATTCAATAATTACTTACTCAAGGCATGTTGGTTTTGTTTCTCTTCAAAGTTCATAAGCATTTCTATTGTGAAATACAACGTTTTTGTAATGTGATTAAATGCGTATTGCATACAAATTAAATTGTCGCATTATTGCCACCATCATCCTGTCCAACGTGTAGTCCCGCCTTGCGCCCTGTGCTGCCCGGGATAGCCTCCAGGGCGCCCATCCTGACCAGGACGAGCCGTTAGATGATGGAGGGCTGAATACCTTAATTATATAGCTAATATGTAGGTATAATTTACAAACGCCAGGGGTAACCGTATTAAACTTGGCACAATTTATTTACATGATACTGTAGCAGTATGCCTTATTGAAGCTAGTTGTGACTACATTTAACAAATGATGTGCATGACATAACCTACCGGTATTGTATCCCACCGCAATTAAGAAGATCACGAGTAATGAAGTTAAAGCAAAATAACCGCAAAGTCTGCTTGGTCGTATTTTTAGCATTTTTGATTAGAAAAATAAACAAGATTTAGCCACTTAAATGATTGATAATAAACTTCCGTTTTCTAGCAAGTTCCGTTTAGAAATGCCACATCGTTCCCTTATCTCCCTATGAATATAAAACTGCGTTAATTGTGAACGGTTTACGATTAATTGTAATTGTAAATTCACTTTGCAGATCCCAAATGTGCATAGTGCTGTACTTCCTTACATGTTCCCTAAAACCCATGACAGCTGAACTATGACCGGTCAAATGCCAATGATGTCATCTACCGGACACCGCCCCGATTGAAACCGAAAGTAAACAAAAGGACAAAAATCGCTTTTTTCGGCTTTATTAATTGGTATAATTCTCCTAATCGCATTCACGTGTATTTGGATCCCTCCTCTCCAACAGTTAGAAAAACTGCGTCAGAATATTTAGTCATACAGTTATCGCTGTTAATGGTTCAGTTAGCAATAGCTAGGTTTCCGCCAGTCCGTTATAGGTGCATATACGAATATTTCTGGGAATGTTTGTTCAGCCTGTGTCGGATTCGGATTTGTCATAAATTTACCAGTTCATTAAACAGTTTACCTTTCATTATGTTTTAAGAAGTGCTCTGCATAAAATATACAAATAATTAAGTAATAGAAAATATTGTCTGGTGGAGGAGTACAATTTATAGGAAGTGTATGCTTTACTATGTTCAAGATGTAAATGTAGTCCATCCGTTTAAGTGGACTTTATTGATCCGGCCCGAATAGTTAATAATGAATATAGTTAAGAATGTTTAGTAATGTATGGGAATTTAAATAATCCAGTTGATGGTCTCTCACATTTATCTTTGTATCCATGTCAAATTACTTATATTAACTTAAAGTCGTATCTTCGGCTCTGGCATGTTGCGTTGTATTGTGGTTCAATGGCAAACGGCATTTTGACAACAAGAATTCATTATGCTAGATAGTGGTAGCATACAGTTGGAAAGAAATTACATTTAAATTAAATGAAATTACACCACACCTTGATTTTCTCTTCACTTTGTGTGTGACCTGTGTTACAGATGATATCCCATGACTTTCTAAAATCTAATAATGTTGAAAGTTTATTGTTGTCCCATGGGCAGTGGAGAAATATCACTGTTGGGCCCTTGAGCAAGACCCTTAACCCCAACTGCTTCAGGGATGCTGGCTTGTGCTGCTCTCATCCACACTTTTAAGTCACTTTGGATTAAAGCAGCTGCTAAAAAATGTAACAGGTCATATACAAGATGTGTGCAAACAATACATGAATATGGATTGCATTGCTAAACTTTTAGCAAGATGGCTGGACACGATAGAATATGGCAGTCACCCCAATTTAAGTAATACCTGAATTGTTGTAGTACTTCATTACCTGACATAAATTCTGTTACCAAAAAAAAGAAAGCCTTTGCTTACTTAAATTCTTCCTTTTCCTTTTTCCTAGATGCCGTTTTTTGAGGGGAAAAGACTACACGTTTCTACCAGAAGATGGCGATTGTGAGTTACAAGAAGTGTTGCACAACTGCAGAGAAGATGAATGTCTTGTTTTTCTCCACAGCTTGAACAAACCACAAAGGAAACTGGGAGTCAGACATCTAATTTTGGCTGTACCCAAAAGCAAAACAGGCTGGACCAAGATGAGCATAAGGGAAAAAAAATCAGCTATGATGTATATGTTTAAATTAATCTATGTCATTATTTTGCAGCCATTAGCAAGTATCATGCATATCTGGCTTTAATTCAGTGAATGCTTATTCACTGACAGTTTTACAGTCCTGGAAAAACCTGGCGAATCAATGTGAATGACACTAACAGCTGTACTGAATATGCCACAATATAGTTGCTCAAACCGGTGTTGAACATGAAAAACTGCAGGATGAAAATGCATGTGTCTCTACATGCATACGACGGAAAGTGTTTTAGGTTAGAACCAATTTGAAAAAGGTCTCAAAACCTCTGGTCAGTGAATTGCAGGTAATAATTATAACACAGTGTGAATTTCAGACATGTCTTTGTCCTTTGTCTACATTAATGATGCAATTATAAAACTTTATTTCAATTGGTTGTCTTTTGTGACACTGAAGTACTAAAAAACAGAAACAAACATGGGACACACAGAGCCAGCTAATGTACAGGAGCTGAAACATCACATTGCACAGGTGGGGGGGAAAACTGCCCAAAATACATAATATAAAACAAGGAAAACAAAATACCTGAATAACTGCCCATGTTTTCATTGACATGTTCTTGTAATAAAAACATTTAGAAATGCACTGAAAATAAATGCTAAAGGAAACAAGTACCAAAGTCTGCCACTAATATAACATTTATTAATATGTTTCTCCTTAGGAAAATAATCTTAGACTGCAATGTCAGATTGTCTGCCATCCTATTCCCAATGCATATAGTACATATTCAAAGGGTATGCAATAAAACATGCAATTCAGTTGTAGCAAAATATAGTTTTCATATAGAACATAATTCATATAGATTTGTTTTGTAACACATCTGTCTCCAGCTTGTTTCCTGAGCCTGTGGCGCAGACTGACAGGCAGAGTCAGCTGGCAAAGAGACTGAACAAGCACGGGAGGTACAACATGTGACAGGAAATGTTTTCAGTAGTGACTTGCACCTCAAACTTCTCTTGGAATTCTAAAATTGGGTTCTAACATCTGGGCAGTCACCCCTACTTTCAGAAGAAAAGGAGTAGGTTTTCCCATATACCAAAGAGGTTTTTGGCAATAATTGTTTGGTGCAGACCACCACCTCCTTCGAAATACAGACACATGTGGCTTGAGTGGAAATTCTCATTTATTTAAACAGCTGTGGTGGATGCGAGGTGCGGAGCCAAACAGGCCCAGTGACATGGTAGCAGAACACAAGCCAGTACGCCAGCTGTGACTGAAGATCCTTGGTTGTCTCACCTGAACAACCTACCAAGCAGAACACAGGGGTCTGGCCTTAGTCTTGGAAAAACACAGGCACTGTATGGATGGAGGGTGCCATACAAACTGTATGCTCCATCTCGTAGAAAGATGTTGTAATATTCAAAAATGACAAGCTTGAATGAGGACCGAGCAAATTGCTCCCGGGTGTTTTACTTACACAAAAATGTTCTGAGGGCAGAAGGAAAAATGATTGGTTCAGAGAGATACCCAATCAGATTGTAAACAGGGTGGGTTAAAGCAACTAGAAGAGGCAGGACCAACCAATTAGATGTCTTGGTCCCACCTCCTCTACAATCGGATTGGTTGTCTATCTGAACCAATCATTTTCCCTCCTGCCCTCAGAACATTTTTGTGTAAGTAAAACTCCCATGAGCATCCAAGCAGTGCGGTGATAGGATAGGGGTTCCTAGCCCTCAGTCTGCAGGCAGTATTCAACTGGGCCATGGAACGCTGGTGGCAGAGTTGTCACTTGTCCCATATACTATAGGATTGTCCTGTATTGGAGAATAAAATGCTGTGATCCACGAAAAAATGTTATTTATCCCATATTTTCATACACATTTTGTCCCTCCCCCACTCATATTTTACTGTAGGACTTTTTTATTGGTAATTTGTGCAATTTGTGTGCAACAGGAACCGGTCCATGGACATCAGAGAGTTAGGAACCCTTACCATGACTGACCGAGAGAACTATGCTGAAGTAACTTAGTGATATGAGAAGCAGGGAGGGTCCTGTCAGAATGGGACGGGAGAGGATGTAACACTAGAAAGCATGTTAACCATGGCGTAAGCACAGGGAAACAACTGCGTATTTAGTGTCCTATAGTCTTGCACAGCCACAGCATTTAAGAATATGGCAGGCCAATATGGGCACCAGGAAATAAAAATTAAATAGCATCTTAAAATGGAAGCAACTCCCTCACTAAGTACTGTTAACTTGGAATGAATTTCAGCTGTACAAAATTGAAAACACTGAAGCACTAACAATGATATTGTCAGTATTCCTGTTGGTGTTTGTACTGCATGTCTACAGACCACTTTGGTAAAATTACTGTAAATTTTACATTTTTTTGTGCTACTGTGTCACTCCCACTCTCCCAATTATCAATACATAACTTTAAAAAAATTATTTAGATCTTTTTTAAAGCAGGTTAAAAACTGAACTACAATTGTATGTGGTACATCCACAGTCTTGTCCGTAATAGAACATCTTCTTCATTTTTTGTCTGTTTAACAGGTACACATAAAAACATACAGTGAAAAAATAATTGTCAGAATCTGCATGCTTAGAGTAAAACCAAAAAAAAAACAAAAACAAAAAACTAGTGATTAACAACCATTATTAACATTTCACATTATGGTTATTAAACTGAACAACAATGAAATCAAACCATTGGGAAATCCTTTCACTTGGTGGCTTGCAGGGTTAGAGGTAAAGGGTCATGACTGTTGTCCACTCCACTGGTTTTCTATTGGCCTGCGCAGTAGCTCTTCCACATGTCTTGCAACATCCATGGTGTCTTCCAGGTCAAATTCTCCATCTGCATCCAACATTGGATCATTCCTGCAAGGGGGGCCCAACACAACAGTCGAACAGATAAACACAAACAAAAATTTGAATCAGATTAGTTATGCCAGGCACTCCCCACACAGATTGCCCCTCTTCGGACTGTCGAAAGCTGGAGCACTCACATGGGAGGGTATATTCCATAGTTATGAGGGTGACTGATAGATGGTGAAGCCGCATGATCCATGTAGGTGGGATTTCCTCCGGTTGGGTCAGGGTTGGCAGTAGTAAAGCTGCAGGCCCAAACAAAGAAAGACCTGGAATCTGATGAACCTTCCTTCATACAGAGTGGGCTACAGTACCAAGCAGCACAGTCAACATGCAAGAATCAACAAGGAATGTTCATCAGGCATCTTCCCAACCATTCCTTTCAAGGGGTGACTGATCATCAGTATCAGACAAAATGCAAAGACAACCAGGAAACAACTCATCAGATCAACAACAATTTTTTTGTCGAACTATTTGCCCTATGATGATGCAGGCAGAACTTCTGTCACTGCACATCTGTTTTTAGTAAACAAAAAAAAAAAAACAGAAAGGCAATCCTGAGTGTTCCTTGGCAACTGCTGTCTTTTTCTTGTGTCTGAAAGTGTATATTTCTATTGCTTCGCTAATGCATTAACTTTCCAGCATAGTTTGAATTGAAAGCCAATGCTTAATTGGCAATTGGCATTTAAGGAGGAAGCCAGGCAGACTACCTACAACCCGCGATTAATTCTACTGGAGAGAGGGCTGGGGACAATTAACACCCATAATTGTGAGAGCTGCAGGAGTGAATGGGGACTTGATTGACAGGCACATCAAGGCGGCCTGCTGCATACTGAGCAGCCAGTTAAATCGCACCAAAAGACTTCCTCTTAATGAATCACCCCTGAAGCAGAAAGGGAGCGACATATTGAAAATGTGACATGTCAGACAATCTTTCCATTGTGGAGCAAAGTGCTTTAAGTGCTCCCCGCACTTCACCTCTCACACGAACACCTCTCGCCCCATTTTCAGCAACTGAATTGCGAATGTGAAGGGCGCAATTAGCGATAATCAGCCCTTTCCTGTTATCCTGCTACTCCTTGGCCGTACGTCCTCCTTGCACAATAAACTGCCCCAGCACGCTGGCACCATGGAAACAACTCATAAATCCTCTGGCCGGCAACGATGGACGGCAAGAAACCAACATGTTTTAGGGCATAGGGAGAAGGGCCTCACAACTTACTCTGGCACTACTTGTCGGATCTGGGGTTTCACGTAGCCATCAACTGCTTTTGCTGCAGGTACAAAGTGGCACATGGGACACAAATAAGAAGTAGAAAATAATTTTAAATCCATGAAAAACAGTCATCAAGATTTCATGACCCTCTGATCTTGAATGCAAAAAGTGTGCACAGTACACAGTTAAGCGGGCAACCCATTTCTGAGAGTAAAGAGACTGATATCCGTACATAAGGGTGGGGTGTAGTATTTAGAGAAGACCTCATCCTTCGGCCGCTCGGGATAGAGGAAGAGAAGGTGGTTGAGGTCGCTGATTCTGTCTGCCAGCGATCGTATGGAGAAGTCTTTCGTTGTGTATGGCATGAGGTTCCATACCATCCTTTCTCCTAAGCACAAAAATGAGGGTTAGCAATAGTTCATCCAACTACCTCTGCCTACCTTCAGGCAGAACTTTAACAAAAGTGCCTCTTTAAAATCATCAAGGCTTCTTGGGCATGAACAAGGATTCGTAATCTGCTGGTTCAAGTCCCAGAAAAAGTCCTCTTGGAGATCCTTTGAGCAGAACTTTTACCAGAACTTCTTTGGATACAACTGTGACCTTAGCAACTTGGACTTAGTTACTGGGTAATCAGAGGTGGATAATTCAGGACCAGAAAGCAAAAATCCAGACCAAGATTCTGTTTTAATCAATCAGTTGTGTACTCTGTGACTGTGACTCTTTATACTCAACTGGGGGTGGTTGAAACAAAATCTTGGTCTGGATTTTTGCTTCCTGGACCTGAACTATCCACCTCTGTCGGCTATGGTACATACCATGAAGCAGTCTAGACAGCATCATGGTGATCAGAAACTGAACGAGCAACACAGCTGACAGGACACACCTGCTTTGTTGGGGTTGTCTGCCACCCAGGCGATGGTGATGCCCCCGATTTCAGAGTCGCTGAAGCGTAGGAGGAAGGTTCCGTTGGGTTTGGACATCAGCATGTCCTGAGCCTGCTGTTTGTTCACAAAGCCCAGAATCGCCCTGCATCACGACAAACCCCAAACACAGACATATACAGATGCATAAAAAACACAACAATAAAAAGTCATCTATTTTTACTCCAATTACCACAGGCGTATTCCTTTGGCTGAGTACATTTCAAAATTGTTTTGTTGCCATGAAGACTACGCATTGCGTAACTGTTAACATCAACAAAACTATACCAATAAAATTTATAATGATAGTTCCTTCATCATGAAGGAAACTTATTTATTTATTTATTTCATGTGTTTTTTTTGCAAGTCATGTCATAATCATAACCATAAACACCAGGTAAAATGACACCTGTCTGA